CCAGCCACAGCCATTTTGTGATTGCTATGTCAAACGATGGGAAAGAAGAACAATTCTATTTTGGCCTAATTAAAAAATTCCACACAGCATCATACAAATATAGACTACATGGAGCTTTCTTAATTTAACTTATTCTTTCTTTACTCCATTGTTGTATTTTGATTCTGGCAGAAGAAGTTGCTGGAGATCTTACTCTGTTCCTCTCAGGTCTATCTGAAAAGTCAGTTTACTTGGTCTCAAAATCTCTCTTGCTTGGTTTACAATATTGCTGTTAGTTTTCATTTTGCTGACTTGAGCTCATTTCTCATTTAATAGGGCTCAAACTGTCAAATGCAATAAATGAGTTTTCTTTGTCTGCCCAACCTAACTGTATTGTGCACCCAAAGAAAACTACCCTGAGTTTGTTTTAGTTAAGGTGCATTGAAGTGTTCTGTATGTTTCAAGTGCTCTTGGAAATTCAAAGGTGATGCAGCAGCTTTTAAAAAACAGCATTCTACTTAAAGCATATAATCCCCATATTTTTGAGGTTAATACTGTAACACATTTTAAGGAGTTTGGATTCCTTTTGCCAGTCTGTAAGTTTTTTATGTGTACTTACATTGTTTTTAGATGTGGCTGAATATATCACTTTGCTGTGTCAATTTACAGCTTAAATAAACTTCAGTGCATGAACTAAAATGTTTTCTGGCAGAATTGGCTTAGACATTGGCTTTTGCAGCAGCTACAGTTCATTGTCTTAAGTTGAAGCCGGTGATATGCTTAACATTTAAGCTATTTCATAGAATGCTGTTGATGCTGTTAAATAATACATGCTCATTTTTGTACAACTCTACAAGTGATCTGCCTTCTAATTATCAAAGATTTTGTGTAATTTAGTAAAATTATAATTTATTCTTATCCAATTTTATGTAGAGGTGGTATTTTAATACAGGCTTTTTCTGTACGTTATGGCAGCCTTACTAATTTTGAATGGAGCTTCTTGCTGACCAAACCTGCCCCCTTCTCAGAAGTGCTTTGTTTGCTCTGCACAAATAGAGATTCTGACATGGGTCTCTCACCTTTGCCAGGGGTACCAAACCTGTGGAGATTTATCTAAGCTCTTCCTTCCCACACTAGGGAAGGTGTGTTCACATCGTCTTTTTTTCCCTGATGTTTGACTGTCTCAGATGGTAGAAGAATGGGTTTTGAAGCTGGGACAGTGAAGGAGACCTGAATCTGAAATGAAAATGACACCATTGATGAAAAAGATCTCTGTTTGGGTCCTACCTATCCAGTAATATGCATATTTTGGTTTTACTGCGTTTATAACTGGCAAGCTCGTGGCAAGCTGGGAAACTTGGCACTGTTTCAGCAGTAGAAACTGGCTCTGCAGAATTTGTGGCATTTCTTCCTGCCCACTAGTTGCTGTAGTCCAAGCTGTGTAGTTGCCAGAGGCAACCCCGACATTAATGTTGTGTGATGACTGCACTGCAAGCTAGCTGAAATAGAAACTCAGCACAGGAAGTTTTTGGGTAGGTCTGGTATTTCTGGGTGTGATTAGGCAGGTGTCTGTCCTTCTTTTCTAAGGCCCTCATAAGTCAAAGTGACAGGAAGACTTGTGGCATGCATTGTCACGGCTCCATTCAAAACCAGTTGGGATAAACTGACATTTTCACAACCTTTATTCCAGGAAGATGCTGTAATTGTGTCTTGAATTTACACTACTAAGAGAGTTACTGAACTCACTGTCCCCTTTGAAGTAACTCTTGACTTCCAGAGGTTATTGGATTGAGATTACAGGTTTATAAAGCAGTGACCTCTTGTCATTAGACATCATGTTACATTGGTATGTAGCCTGAGGATTTCATTAGTTGAATTACCACAGCTTCTATGTGTACAGTTAGACATGAGCCTATCTGAGATTTAAATAAAAATCTACTTGGACCTGAGTATCCTGCAAGCAGCAGGTGAGATGCTATTTTTGAGATTATAATGCTGCCCTGGTGTAGCTGAATATTTAGTGAGATGAAGTGGGTGTACATTTGTCCATTTTGATGCATGAGCAGAATGTTTGTATCCGTCTTTGCCAGTTCTTTTCCTTGTTTACTTGCAGTCTGTGTAGTACAATCCAAACATTTCTCCTTCCTGGTTCCTGTGCCTGTGCCCCACACTTTTCCTCAAGAATGTTTGTAGTTCAGGATTTTGCACTTAGGCTGTTACTGCCAGCTTGTGCTTAATTTCCCCACTCCTGCAAAGGTAGTGGTGCTTATGTTTGTGTAATAGTGAACTCTGGAATCTTCTTCAGGTGTTGCAGTTTCTTTTTTGAAGGGTATGTCATGCTAACTTAGATCATGTAGCTCCTCAGAAAGGCACTAGATTTTTTTTTTCTGATTTACTATCCTCCTGTCTTGTTCCTGCCTGTCCCTGCTCAGATCCATGCTCTTGGTTTGCCAGTAAACTACCAAACACCTGGGTTCTGCAGGAACAGTGAAATTCAGTCATCTCTTCCTTTTGTGCACCAATTTGTTACCACCTATTTATTAAATCTGATGGTTCCAAGTCTTCAGAGTCTTTATACAGCTATTTTCTTTAAAGCTTTTAGAAAGCAGGTAAAAGGTAAAGCTGTCATAAGCATCCTGTAGACCTTGAAAAAGATTTCAGTCACCTCTGAAAGAAATGTCTGATTCTAAAAAGTGTCCCCGAGCTAAAAGCTTTTTTTTTGTGAAGTATCCAGGAAATGCAAAGGAGGTCACTGCATTCATGTACCTGGGAAAGAAAAGCAGATTTCTTTTAATTATCTGAGGTGTTGAAACTGACAGTAAATAGCAGAGTAATTTGAAGGATATATTGAATCCTATCTCATTATGGCACACTTTTAAAAGGCAGGCATGAGGAGACCTTTCATGTCTCAAAAGAAACAGAACATCTTTTATTTTTGCTTAAGAACCAGTTTATCGTCAGTTTATAAATTCACTATTGCTTTGTCTTGAAGCAAGCTGATTTTCAATAGTATAGCTCCTTTTCTTGATAACTGTGCTTTTCAAAATGAGCCTCTGAGCTGTGTAATTTTTTTCCTTTGTGCAGAGTGTCCTTAGTAAAAGTAGTTGAGAAGATTGAAAAGCAGACCACCTCACGTTGCCTAGAGTTGCAATTAAAAAAAAGTAACCCTCAAGTTTAAAAGTCAGATTCAAAGTGCTCTTTGCCTCTGGGCACTGCAAAAGCAGTGGTTATTAGATGACTAATAGCTTAGGTGGTTGTTAGTAAAACTCCCAGAATAACTTCCTCAAAAATGTGTGTGTAGCTTGGAAAAAATACATGTTGGGTGTATCACCTGTCTTAGAATGAGAAGAGTATTCAGCTGCCTGGTTTTAGTTCAGTTTGTGGTATGGGTGATGGGATGTTTTTTTTGGCTCTCCCTCTGTAGGTAAAGACAACTAGATCATGCAAGAACCATCAAAAAGATAAGTGGCAGGAAACTTTCAGGTAATTTTGTAAATCTTGGGGGCTGTGTCAAATTTGCCTGGATTGAGAGGATGACTTACTTCATCCACCATGTAAAGTCAGATCAGAAGTGAAGTTTCAGACAAATAAAACCAGTTCCTGTTTTGTCAAAAGAACCTTAGTGAATGGAAACCTAGCTCTCATGTATCTTCATCTGCATCTCAGTGTTCTGGTTCTCAGGGATTCTCTTTTTAGTCTTTATGTGTTTGTATCTTGGTGTTTTGTGTTAGGGCTGTTTAACGCTCTCTCAAAATCAAGTACTTGGAATGAGTTAAAGAAATAAAGGCATCAGTCAAATAGTGAGCCCTCTAGTGTACTAACGTGTTTGCTAGCGGGCAGAGCCTTTTCCTTCAGAGAAGTGCAGACTCCTGTCTGGAGTACGGTGTTCAGACTTCTCTGAATTGACTTCCTATGTCTCATGCAATTAGTGGTTTTGTTGTACTTTACCACTTGTTCGTATCACTTATATTTTTCATCCAGTTTAATCTGAAGTTTGCTTTCATTGTAGTTTTTTAACGGAAAAGTTGTTGTTGTGTTTTCAATACTGATAAAAATTATTTTGTAGTTATTTAATGTGTTTAAAGAACTGTAAAAAAGGTTCTTAAAAGTTAATGTACACATGGAATGTTCTTGAATAAATTTCATGTTCATATGAAACACTATTTTTCTAGAGCCCATTGCAGTCTTGCTTTCAGATGACACAAACAAGGAAGAATAACACTGCTCAAATGCTGTGAACCTTATTTTTTGTGCTGTTACTGTGTGGCATTGCATGATGGTGATCTCTGCTGGAAGATTTGCTTTTGAAGCTTGGTATTAGAATTATGCCTCTTGTCCAGACTTGGAAGGAATTCCTGTCCTGAAGGTTTAACATAAATACAGTTTAGAGAGTACACTGCATTGAATACATAAATATAGCAACTTCAACTACTATAGCAACTATTGCTTTTCTGTGGATCAGTTAGAGTACATGCATAAACAGAGTATAATCTCTCTTGCTTATTTTGAGTTTAAAAGAGGAGATTGATACCTTGTTCTTTTAACTCTGTAGGAGGTCAGAAGCCGACAGAAGTTGAAACCTCAAGAGCAGTGACTATGTTTTAGTCTCAGTGTTTTCTTTCTTTAAACAATTGAAAGAGTTCCAAAGAATATGTGACTTCTACTCCTGAAGAACAATTCGGTGAAATTTACTTTTGCATGTGACCAGTACCTTCTAGGTATTTCAAATATTAAGAATGATTTGGTAAGAATAGCATATACATATATGAACCACTTGTGCCAGCAGCTCGAGTCTGTTGTAATATTTAAGAGTTCTTGATTGCTGTAATGTATGTTGTTATAACTAAGGTGATGGAGCACTCTTTGCATGTAACAGAGTGTGTGCCTAACAGGTGTATGATTTAACCTGCTTTTGCCAGTTTGTTGGCAACAAGATGTATTTTAAGAATTACTTGTACTGTATGAACAGATTTCTTCTCCAGAGATGCAATTTTAAAAAGACCAACCTTTTTTTTTTTTAGGTCCCTTTACAGATGTAGTAACTACAAATCTTAAACTACGAAATCCATCAGATAGAAAAGTATGCTTCAAAGTGAAGACCACAGCACCTCGCCGATACTGCGTGAGGCCAAACAGTGGAATTATTGACCCAGGATCATCTGTAATTGTTTCAGGTAAAAATAAATGTATGCAGTTGTAGGTTAAGTGTTCTTAAGGCCTCTGATGCAGTTCCCTAATGCTTGATCCTAAAGACTGTTTGAAGTATGTCAGCTTTTTAAAACCTTTTTATTTTTCAATTGAAAGGATTCCCCTCATTAGTGTGATGGCAACTTGATGTAGAGCTGCAATGATACATGGAAGAATCCTCCATGTAGAAATACTTGCCTTTGTCACATTTATTTGTGGCTCTCAAAAGGAGGAAAAGCAAGTTGAAAATGGGCAGTGACATTAACAGTACCTTTGCCTCAGACTACAATATTCATGTTTGTGTCCTGAAGTAGAACATTTCTTGGCTGCTCTGATGTGCTTAAAGTGTAACATTTCATAGTTCATAGCATTTAAGAAAAAAATAGTTTACAATTGTATCTAGTAGTTTTTTCCAAGAAAATGGGAAGACTAGCTAATAGTCTGCAGATTTGGTAAATGATTTTTGTAGGTCATTCTCCTGACCATTTTGTGGTAGAATCTCTAGAATAAGGGATATTCATTCAGGTTGCAGGTATCACAGGCAATACAGATGTGAACTCCTAGATCTCCTAGGTCTAGAAAACTGATTATTTTAGAACCCTTGGAGACCTCTGTAGCAAAGCAAAAGGGAAATAAGGGAGCAATCCTCAGAGCTTTTCAGGTCTACATTCTTACAGCCTTTGGGAAGTTTGAAAGAAGCTGGAGAGCTATCTTCAGGTGAAATGTTCAACTGATGCAAAGAAGGCAAGACAAGTTTATGATTGATTAAAACCTTAGAGTAACTTTCCTTGTAAGAGTTTTCCAATTGAATATGATCTGTAGTATGGAGCCTTTTAAAACTTCATTATTGCTTCCCATGGGCAGTCCAGCATCTGGACTCGTGGTATTTATTCACTGACTTGGGGATGAAAGATTTAGGAATTGATTTAAGATTCAAATAGTCAAAAACTTCTTTATTTCTGTCTTCAACTACAACTTAGAGCCATTTTACCTTAGCTGTGTGTTTGACCTGGTATCTGGGATTTTTCCACTGGGTAGTTCAGTATCACAATCAAGATCTTGCTGGCATTTCTCTTCAGGGAATTGAATAGATGGAGGGATTACATTCTGTGTGTTTTCATAGCTATAAATTATCTTTTTAAAGCTTTAAATATTTTGGTTTTTTAAATGAGTCAGTACTGGAGCTGTAAACAATACTGTGGCTTCAGGATCTCCAATAAAGGGAAACATGTCACACTGCTTGAGTCTTCAGCTGGCATGGCAGGAAGTCTTTGATGTGCCTATTTCTGTATTGCTGGATTCTCATGCAGTTATTCGGCTACAGTGACCTCAAGATGTTTTCGAGTGCCATTGTTTAGTTACAGTGATTCCACAGTGCTTTGCAAAACGAAGGTCTCTTCCCCACAGTGTCAGCTTCGTATTTTTTTTTTAGGCATATAATTTCTTTTGGGTCATTTGCTAAGATAAGTGCACAGATTATTTTTTTAGTGACCCACTTTATCTCATCAGTCTCTCAGCTGAATGTTTTCAGTGCTGAGTCATCTTTCATATAATTAAAAATAGATTTCTCTCATATTGTTGTGCAGAGAGAAATAACTATAGGATACTGTGGGCTGAAGTTCTTACGTTCAAAACTGAATGTTGTGGTAGTGTTAGCTGTCTTCAGCCTGTTTAATGCATTGTGCTGATTCACAGTTTTTAAATTCATTGTTGGAAATGTGATTTGACAATCATTTTAAAGAAGTCCACTGACATTTTTTAATCATTTATTACTTTTCAACTGTGAATCACTAAGTAACCTTCTTCCACCATGTTTTTTTGTTTTTTTTCCGGAAATACAAATTGCATAAGAGCTGTTTTTCTTTACATTGATATTCTAAATTTACTATTTATTATCCTGTCATGTATTGTTTGCTGTTAACTTGTTAACAGCAATTGCTTGTTGTTGAGTTTTTTCCATAATATACCATGTTACTCTTGTTCCTTCACAGCTTGTTACTGTTACTTTTTAATGTTTTCCCCTCTGCTTTTGCATTTTTCTAGCTCTATCAGTATCTCTGCCATAGCTTTCTCATTGCTATAAAATAAGTACATATATAGGTAACTGTTATAGGACTCCATGTATTTTTTCTTATATTTTTCTGAAACTGCCTCTGCTTCTCTTAATTTTGTATAAAGATATACTGAACTGAAATTCCCATTCTGTGGAAGACAGGTGTATGTACACTAAGAAATAATTTATCTCTCCAGTTCATTAAGTCCTCATCCTCTGGTAGATCAAGTTGCAAGTCTGCTCCCACATACACAGATGTAGTTTTTTTCGGTCTCTTTTACAGGATGTTTGTTTGTATTTGTGTATGAAATGTCTTTTCGTATAGTAATTACAGAAATAATAATGTCAGCCACACCAGACTCTGACCTCTTAGTCCCTTTTTCTACAGTGTATGCACTGCCTTTGCATTTTAACCTTCAGTGTCTGTTCATTGAGGACTAAATCTGAAGTGGTTGCTGTATGTGCATGCTTGCTGTAGTGAGTAGCTGAAGAATCACAGTTTTATTTTTTTCCTTTGGAACAGTAATGCTGCAGCCTTTTGACTATGACCCAAATGAGAAGAGTAAACACAAGTTTATGGTACAAACAACCTATGCACCACCAAATATTACAGATATGGAGGCAGTGGTAAGTAAAATTGGAGTAAAATGGCTGATGTATTTTTTTCCTTAAAAATTTTGGCTTAACTAGAAATGATTCCTTTTTGAAGAATTGAGTTTTCTCTGAACAAGGTGACCTCTTAGAACTTGCTTGTAGTGATTAACATAGAGGTTACTGAATGGAAATAGGAGTGAGTCTAAGGTAAGGTCAGTTCAGTGTTAAAATATGGGCATATTATACCTTTATATGCAGCTAATTTAAAAGAGATAAACAGATTTAATTTAAATGAATCAATGTTTATTCAAACAACAAGCCTGAAGCTGTATGTTAATGGGTTCATTTGGTACGAAAAGTGTTTAAGTGAAATGTTGAATGGGATTATAACGAATTAAAACATTTTCAAGACTAAGATGTCTCCCTACAAGATACCAAGTGCTGGCTAAACACAGCACAAATGATAGATTTATTTTCTGTTTTAATAGAACATGTTGTAACTTCAGTTCTTAGGCTGGATTGGTCTGATGCAAGATCCAGAAGGTATGTAGGTTTGTGCTTGTTAGTTCAGAAGTGAGGTGCCTATTTCTGATTTTACTGGCTGGCACCAATGGGAATGAAGCCCTCAGTTGTCAGAACATGCCTTTTAGGGTGGATGTGGACTCACGTAAGTATGTCCTAAGGTGGAGGTCAACGTTGCACATGCTTCTAACTCTACAAACTATTTAAAGTAATGCCTGGGTTCACACAGGTACATTTGATGTTCACTCTAGGCAGGGAAGGAGAGGGGAAACAAAGGATAAAGATGAGATTTTATAAATTGCTGAATTCCAAGAGACCTTTTGGGCTCTGTCCCCTTATATGAAGGCAAAGACATCAGTCTTCAGTGACATCAGTCTTCACTGGAAGCAGTAGAAAACCTTCTAGATTTTGTGAAGCTGTGGAGACATGAATGTTAACATCTGTCTGCCTTTTTGAACTGGTTTGTTTTTCTTCATTTGCTCTAGTAGCTCTTGGTTATGTTTGGTAAGGATATAAAAACCAACTTCAGAAATACCTTTCAAATAACTGCTTTCTAATGAGTTCAGGTATACAGTACTGAGAAACGGATCTTGCAGAAAATTGCTAATTGTAGTTAAAAGTTACTGTATAATTAATACTGCTGGAAAAAAAAAAATTGGAAGCATGTTATGAAAAACCTGAATATTTGAATCTGTAACACCTATAAGGTAACAGGAGGGCCTATTAGAAAAATTGCTGCAGACTTCAGACCTGTCTCTAAGCATTAGAATTTAAGGCAACTACATTAAGTGCATGCTTTGAAAGTTAATTGTCAGTTGAGTAGAGAGATTCCAACATAGTGTAGTTATTTAATACTGAGAACCATTACAATTTAGTTTTTTATAAACAGCTTTGAAAAATTCTCTAGGCTCAAATTGTCACATGATACACAGTAAAAGGAGAAAGTGAGTAGAAGTCTAAAATTTGAAGAACTAAAGAAATTTATTCTAGAACACATGTAGAGTCACTAAAAGGTGTCTTTCAATCTTTTATTTAAAATCAGTCCTTTCAAGATGGGATACAAGCAGTGCATTTACTGAGGCATAATAGGGCTAGAACTTTCTTTTCAAACTGACTCAGATGCTACTTGTTTCTTGTTGTGTGTTAAGAAACCACTGTATTGTCCCCTCCCTGTGTCATACAAACCTCTGATGGATCCATCCTTGCATTCAGTTTACTCTTTTTCATTTCCAGACTTGAATAACCATCTCTAGCTTTTGTTACTTCACAGCAGTGAGTGTGAACAAAAAGCATTGTTCATAAGCAAGTCTGAAAATTGCAGGGAGGGTAAGCATGCTATTCAGCTGTATAGGAGGTCACTGCTAAGAGCAAGCTTGTGAACTGTTGAGATGTTTGCATGAGTCCAGCATGTTAAATAACTCTATTAATTGTTTTCTTAGTGGAAAGAAGCAAAACCTGATGAGTTGATGGACTCCAAATTGAGATGTGTGTTTGAAATGCCCAACGAAAATGATAAACTGGTAAGTAAGGAATAAGAAACTGTCATACACTGACTGGTAGGATCTCACAGAAATTTCAGGGATTTTTTTAAACTTATTTGATTTAATGACTAAATGAATTGATGGAATTTGTACTAAATTAGACAGGAGGGGTGTTCACTATATAACTTTTTAAGGATTCACAGAATCATGGAATGTCCCAGGTTTAAAGAGACCTTGAAATACCATCTGGTCCAGGATCTTGTCCCAGAGGGAGCACTTTGTCCAACCACATCTTTAAAAACTCCAGCAATTGAGAGCAGTTGCAAAAAACTATATTTTTGTTATTTTTATACTTTAAAGTTTTCAGATGCAATCTCAGTTTAATCTTGAGGGGAAGGGAGTGTAGGGATTGCTTTGTAGTTGGGGATTTTGGGGTTGGTTTATTGTTTTTTCTTTCTTTTTTGGAAAGGATAATTATGAGATGAAGGTGTAAACTTCCTAAATGTGTATTAAACAGCAAAAATGTAAAGGTTGAGCATTTATTATCAAGGTACTTAGTTGTCTACTTTCTGGCTTTAATTTTATAAAGTGTGTAATGTGGTGAGAGAAATGTAATGGGCTATACAAAACTACCTCCTTTTGTACTTCCTCCTAAGAAACTGTCCCTAGGGACAGAGGAGCTTACTTTTTAATTAAAGAGTCACCTCTTTACACTCTTAAGGGGCTTTAGGCCCTTTTAGGGCCAACTCTTTAAGGCCATTTTTCTTAGAGTGCAAGAACTCTCCATTCTCATATGTAAGAAATCAAGGAAGGCAGGCCAGAAAACGGCATGGCTGAGCAAGGATCTGCTCCTTGCATTGCAGAAGAAGGTAATGCACAGCCAGTGGAAGCTGGGACATGTGACTTGGGAAGTACAGGGGTATGGTATGGTTTGAGGGTGTGTAGGGGTGGGATCAGGAAAACTGAGTTACAGATGCAAAGGGATGTGAAGAGTAACAAGAAAGGACTCTGTAAGTATGGAGTATGTTAGAAAAGAAAGGACAAGGAGAGTGAACCCCGCTGATAAACAAGAAAGGGGAACTGGTGACAACAAATATGGAGAAGGCTGAGGTACTCACTGACTTCTTTGCCTCAACCTTGACTGGCTTGCCAGGTCTTGGAGGTTCTCATGGTTGAAAAGCTGGACATGAATCTACAGTGTGTGCTCACAGCTCAGAAAACCAATTGCATCTGGGACTGCACCACAAGAAATGTGGCCAGCAGGTCAAGGGAAGAGATTCTCCCTCCTTATACTCTGCCCTTGTGAGACCCCATCTAAAGTCCTGAGTCCAGCTCTGGGTTCCCTAACATAAGAAGCATGTGGACCTGCTGGAGCAAGTCCAGAGGAGGGCCATGAAGATCCTCAAAGGGCTGGAGCACCTCTCCTATGAAGACAGGCAGAGAGAACTGGGGTTGTTCAGCCTGGAGAAGGCTCCATGGACACCTCATTGCAGCAACTTTTAACACAGACAGATACTGATAGCACAAGGGGGAATAATTTTCAACTAAAAGAGAAAAGATTTGGATTAGATCTTTGGAAATTCTTTGCTCAGGAGGTAGTGAGGAACAGGTTACCCAGAGAAATTGTGGATGTCCCATCCCTGAAGGTGTTCATGGCTATGTTGAATCAGGCTTTGAACATCTGATCTGGTGAAAATTGTCCCTGCCTGTAGTGGGCTGGGGGGAAGGGGTTGGAACTAGATCTTTTTTGAGGTCCCTTCCCACCCAAACTATTCTATGATTGTGTGATTTTTAGCAGAGCTGTGGAAATTAGATTGTTATTTTTAATATTGTTCTTTTCACAGCTTTTTGTGACTCTTCAAAATTAGTAATGTGTATTTCAGATGCTGTCAGACCTAATTTTCATGTTTGTGCAGCACTTTATTTTCCTTCACTAAAAGGTATTACAAGCGCAAAACATTGTGTCACACATACTTCATAGGAGTTTGTGACATGACCTGTTCTGATTTTACTTTTTGTTTCTTACTATTGCAGGATTACTTTCTTGCTTTTATTTTTTGCCCCCAAGTTCAAATGCTCTTTGGTGTATTTTATGCCCTCTTTTGGATGCCTCCTGGGTCAGTGTTAAGCAGCTAAAATATCAATTTGTGTCTCAGTAGAGTAATAATACCAGGTAGACAGTGCAATCTGCTCTTGCTTTTTTAATGCTTGAGCTAATCAGAATTGAACTGTCAGTGTCTGTTCAGCTTACTGTAAATACAAACCTCATTGAACTATATTAGTAGCTTCATTGTTTCACTTTTAAGCTGTAGATGATTTTTCTCTAGGTAAGTAAATTCTCAAATCATTCTTGATGTTTGTAGAATGATATAGATGCAAGCAAATCCACCCCAGTACTGAACACATCTAAGCAGGATGGACCGATGCCAAAACCACATAGTGTTTCACTTAATGACACTGAAACAAGGAAGCTGGTGGAGGAGTGCAAAAGACTTCAGGCAGAGATTATGAAGCTGACAGATGAAAATCGGCACCTGAGAGTAAGTTCTGCATCCACCTTTATACTGAAGTGGCTTCTTGAGTGAAAGGTCTGGTTTTGAATTAGGCCAGAAGATGTACATTCCAGCAAGTAGATAAAGCTGTTAGACTATCAAGATCGATTCATAATATGACTTCACTGTCCTGTGTATAATGTATATTTTGAACTTGTCAGTGATTGAGACTTTTTGGTTGTCCTGGAGGAGACAGTGAAGCTGCAGAATTTTCTTCTTAAATGAAGTGGTCCTATTTGAGGTGATCTTAGTTACTTTAAGTCCAAGTTGAAGCTACTGAATTAGTAGCTTTGTAAAAGTGCTTTATTTTTCATTAATAATGAGTGAGCTCTAGAGCAGTAACATTTTGTATTACAAACAGCTAGTGAACAAGAGCAATTGTTTGGCCAGAGGAGGTAAGCAAACACTACTTCCTTGTACCTTTATGTAAAGGTGTCATTCCAGTGACAATACATGGCTTTGTGTCTTTTCTATATATTTGCTTTTGGAACAGTTCTGGCAATTTCATTTGCCATGGTAGTCTTTTAAAGAACTATAATATGATACCTCCACACCTGTTATTCTGATGACATTGACACTAAACAAAACAGGTGTATCTCCTTAACAATAAGGAATTACTGCTATTTAATTTTGACACGTATTAAGTAAGAGCAGAATGCTTCATTTGGCTTAGCAAGATTTTTGGTATATTTTTTAAGCAGAGAGACTAGTGAATTATGATCCTTATTTAAAATATGTTTTTCTATGTTCATGTTTTGGATTTGGATGTGATGCAGTGTTGTATCTGTTGAGGGGTTTTTTTTAAACTTCATTTAAATATTCACCAGTAAATATGGCCTTTTGAGTTCAGCTTTTACTATCCTAGTGATGTATTTATGGTTTTTTTCCATCTGTGTTTTTTCTTCCCCTCAGGATGAAGGCTTGAGGCTCAGAAAGGTAGCGCACTCGGATAAATCTGGATCACCCGCAGCTTTGGCCCTCAGAGATAATGGCTCTAATTCTCTTCCTTCACTTCTTGTTGTAATTGCAGCCATTTTCATTGGATTCTTTCTAGGGAAGTTCATCTTGTAGAAAGAATGAGTGAAAGAAGCATGCAAAACTGCAGCTTCCTTTTTTTTTTTTTTTGTTTTGTTTTTGTTTTTTTTTTTGTTTTCTCTTGGCCAGAAAAAGGTTTGTTTACCTACCACATCATGGGTAGTATGGCCCGAGCGGCCGTTCTTGTGTACAGCATCATAACAGGCTTTGCCTTTAATGATCTCGCACGGTTAGAAAACACAATCTGAAAAGACAAACTGTTCAGCTGCTGGACAAAATTGTACATTCAGTCATCAATAGCAGGTATCAGTTGCACAGTCAGTCCTTTATGAAAATTCATAAATAAAGAATTGTTCTTTCTTTCTGTGGTTTTAATAAGAATTCGAAAATTGTTCAGAGTCTTGTAAATGTTATTTTAATAATCCTTTAAAATTTTATCTGTTGCTGTTACCTCTTGACAAATGATTTATTAGATTGCTAATCCCACTCATTCAGGAATATGACAAGAGGTATTCTGGGGGAAATGGTGCCTCTTACTGTGTAAATTTTCTCCTTACCTTACTTTGCTAATATCATGGCAGAATTTCTTTCTTATTCCTTGTGAGGCATTGTTGAGAGTTCTTCATCCTTAACAGTCCTGTCCCATAATATTTAACATGACAAAAGAAATAAAATTGTTAACAGATTTTTCTGCTGGGTAGCCTGTTTGTGTGTGTCGTGCTTTTAGAGGGGATTCTTAACAAGTTCATTGTTCATGGTAATTTGCTACTTGTAACAAATGGCTATTTTGAAGTTTATTTGCTTAAGTCTCTGGCTTTGACTGTTGTAATTGAAGCTTGGGAAAGAAAAAAAAGGTTTCCATTCCATTTGTTTAAAAAAATGAACTGTTTTCTGGCTGCTTTCAGCTACAAAGAAGATGGTTATCAGACTTGTTTTGGGACAGAACAATTTGGATATCCAGCAGGTGCAAATGCCAGACATGAATGTTTTCAATATATTAACAATTTGCTTGGATTGTGCAGGAGTGTAATAATCAACCTTCTGTTCCATCTTTGGATCTTCTGGGTGTCTTCCAGGAGTCAACATTATTCTTTGATTTCTTAAGGGTACTTAATTCACATATATTAACTTACTCAGTTTATAATTCTGTCTTAGCAGATACTAAAAAATGCAAGATGAACATTCAGACACCCGTAGCGTATTCCATGATGCAGAAGAGTTGATATTTGCTGAGTTGCTCACCTTTGGCTCAGTTGCTCACCTTTGGGAAATAAAAATCATTTTATGCAACTCTTGGCAGATCTACCTGTTTTAACCATGTATAGCTAAGTTTTAAAAAATGCATTTTTGGGGTCTGAAATGCTTCCCTGCACTTAATCTTACGTCTTGCCTCATCTCTGAATATGTCATAAAAACAAACAGTAGTATTGAAACAAAATATTATCTGTACTTCTGAGTAAGCATAATCCAATACAGGGAATTGCTTGTAAACTTGAAAAATTGTGGAAGAGATATACTCCTGTAAGCAAAATTGTGTATGCTTTTGGACAGCTTGACTTGATGTGGTGCAGCTAAGTGTGTTAGACCTTGGTGTATGCACACCTTACGTAGCTGAGAAAAATGTTCTGGGAAAGATGTACGTTATCTTGGTTGCCTTTGATTTCTACTGCTTTTTTTTTTTAATTACATCATGTTCTGTCATAACTCTCTGTGATAAACTTTTTTTATAAAATCTTGCACATGTACAAGGAAGATGATGGAGAAAATGCAAATACTGCTTATCTTTTCACTTAAGCATGCAAGCACTGATGTTTCCAATTACTTGTTCCAGTGTCTGCATTCAAGTCTCCTTCCATCCCAGTGACTGGAAAAAACTGTGTTAAGGTTTTGATTATTTTGGTTCCGCTGGTTCAGAATGGTGTATTTCTTCTAATTTTTTCTCTAACAGAACATTTCCACATCAAACTTTCATAGCCTGTTCCAAACTGATTACGTGGAAAATAACGAAAGCAATATTGTGCAAGATGTAGTTTGCTTCATGTAGAGCAGTCATTCCTGCACTGAAAGGAGAAAAACCACACAAAACACTCTGGAAGATCTTAAAATGTTTACAGCGTGGTGTGCGGAGGTTTTCAAAGGTGCTAGCACTTAGAGGACTTAAAACCAGAAAAAAAAAGTCATTGCTCGATGCAGCTGACTCAGGTTTTGATATCTGGCAGCAGAAATATGGTAAAAGTAATGATAAAATCAGAGTGAAATAACTTTTTTTCATAAATAAGAAAAAAGTTGGTGGTAAAACTTTGGTCGTGGTTTAAGCGATGCTTTCAAGTGTACAGCGCTCTTGTAACCGGAGTTCTCAGTAATGCTCTAAGGAGACTGTCTTGGTTTCCCGTAATCCCTTCATAGCTGTATATAAAATGTAATGCTAAAACTATTTTGCTCTCAGGAGTCACTTTGGATGAGATCAGCTGTATTCAGTGAATTATGTAATATGGATTAAATTGTTTGTCTTTGTTCCTGAAATGGTTAGAACTTCTTGCTTTGTCTGCCTGCTTACTCATGTATGTAAGCACAGGGAAATACAGTCTCTTGATCTGCTCCTGGTGAGATGAGCAGACCATGATGCCCGTAAAGTTGTGTCAGGGTAAATGCATAATTTCAGTTAAATATATGTTGCAGGTTGCTCCTCTAATTTCTGGAAAGGGCAAGATGATACAAGTATACAATATCAAAGTAGTTATTTAAATTTTTTTATGAATATAGCACTTTAAAAAAGAGTAGTATGGTTCAGGGGGAAAAAAAAAACATAGCTAACTAGAAGATACAGCTGCTGTAGTAATTCTGGGCACCGAATTTAACCCACTTAAAAAAATATATCTATAAAGTTCATTTAAGAAAAAGTTATTTGTATCAATGCACAAGTTAATTGTGTGTTTCTACTCATCCTCTAAAAGCTGTTGACAGACACTATTGCCCAGGCTTGCATGTTTCTGCTGCTATGTTTGAAGCCAACTTACTTAAAAGAAGCAACCAAACATTAGCTTGGAAATTCATTATCCTCCTGGGAGGAGGGAGGGTGGAGGGAGGAGTTGAAAGGTGACATTTTGCCAAAGGGGAAAAGACAAAGTCAATAAGCAAAACTTATCTTTCAGGCCTTCTTCAAAGTTATTAAAGGTTGAAGTGTTAATAAACTATTAAAAATGTAGCGGTGTCCTTTTTATTTTGGAACTTCTCCCTGACTCCATTGAGTGAAGAACAGGTGCCTCAATCCAGGCAGCACTGGGGATGCTCATGGGTCTCAGATTCAGAAGAATCATCTTGACAAATTTTCTTTTTCCTTTTGGGAGTCCACTGGTTTTTAGGTGTGAATTGACTTGCTGGAGCAAACACTTGTTTCAGTCTGTAGCAAAAGATGGAATGAGAGCTATGCAGTTACAGAGCAACCCTAATAAATAAATAAATAACACTGCAATGCCCTCCTCTCCAAGTTTGCAGGTGGGATTGAAATTCTGTAGCCTGTCTTTTCAGCTGCATTGCTGTGAAGGTAATAGTTCACTGCCTTGCCTGCTACTCTGGTTCCTGTGGAATGGCTTTTGGGGGATTGTTCTGGAAGGCCCATTTGTGTGTAGCACTCGCCACTGCTGCTAGGGAGCCTCTGTCTTGGCTGATCCTGAGCTTCTGTGGTAGCTTTAGGGTGGTGGCACATTGGAGTGTTGGACAAGAGGGGGAGCTAAATGCAGGAGTCAGTTTTCACAAGGGTTTGAGCTCCTTCCTGTGGGAAGTGCTGAAACTAATGATGATAAAATGAAGTAGGTTGTTTCTTGTACAAATGTATTTCCCAGGGACACTGAAATAGTGCAAGCGTCTGATTGAAGTTGGTCTGTTGTGTTTTTCTGTTTCAGTGTGTGTTAGGTATGTTGGGGAATTGCTGATTCTGACAGGGCTGCATAAGCAGAGGTAGTGCTGGTGTTGTCACCTATTTATTTGCCCTGTATGTGACAAATGATCACATAGAACAGAGGTCTTGTGCAAAGGCAGAACAGTTGATTCTTCTATCTGGCGTTGTTACTGGCAGGGACTGGTAAGGTCCGTGCCTCATTTGCTGGGAGAAGAGTTTATGTGTTTGTGTGGGGAACTAGATCTGGAACCTGCTTTGGATGAAATCACTGTTTTATCCACTACAAATTATGTTTTAACTGAATCCTGATATAAGCATGCAGTGCCATTTTATTTAAAACTTGGTACCAGTGTATGTCATGTTGGTAACACGGCCAGCAGGGTATTGAATCTGTGTTTGTACTGCAGCTACTCTCCTGCTGGCAATGGTGGAAGGCTGATGTCCTCCCTCTTCCTTAGAAAAGACTTAAAAGGATGTTTGTGGTAACCAAGCACAGAGTTATGGACAGACAGCTGTAATTACAGCAAAGCAATCTGAGCTCAAGCACTTGGAATAAGTGAAACAGTAATTGAAGGGTGGCTGAAATAGTTATTGTTACCTTTTGAATTGGTTGATAAGAAAAAAAGGCTTTGTAAGTTGTTTAGTTGTGATGGTTTGTTCTTTTTTTTTTTTTCTTAATGTTAGACTGCTGATCATCCAAGTTCTGCAAAGGGAAAAAAACCCCCAACAATCAACCAACCAACAGATTGCCATAGCCTAGGAGTAATTATTTCAGGATTTTATGGAAAGTTTTTACTAATATTGGTGGAGGCTCACATGCAAAGATCAATTTAGAGAGACTTATTTGGTATGAGTATCTAGACTTTTCTCGCAGTGGGTAATAGTTAAATAGCAGTCTTTGTGAATGTCCTGGTCTGCCTTGTCAAGGATGGGTTATCCTGGCTTTTGAGATAGGGAAACTGAGGCATCAGTGTTGAGGCAAATGACTAGGTAGTTTAAGCACAGCCCTTATTTTCTAGCATACATTCTATCCTGTTTCTCATCAAGTATTCCTTGAGCCACGTCCAAGTCTTTTTTTTTGTTTGTTGGATTTCAAAAATCCTGCTTCGTGTTGCTCAGACATCTGTAATAGTCTTTTGAAGCAGCCTCCTAAAGACTGAGCTGTTGCTTTGTCTGTTCCTGAGGCCAGGTGTTGAACAGACAGAAAATGTAACTGTTAGGTGTTTAGAAGTGGAATGTGCTCACTGGGATTATAATGCCTGACCTCAGCCAAACATAGTTGAGGGAGGAAAAAAGGAAAAAATATGCTAAGCATTTGGGTGTGTTGTGTTTGTAGTCCTGAAACATAAAAGTCGGTCTGTGTTGCAAAAAACTTCTGTGGAGCCAGTGCTGTTTGCACTTAACAAGTAAAAGAAAGCAAACTGTCCTAAATGTGTACAGCTGCCCTGTTGGTGGGGGTATATACTGTTGCATTGGGTTTCCCTGGCAAGGCTTTGGTAGTGGGGGGGCTGCAGGGGTGGCTTCTGTGAGAATCTGCCAGAAGCTTCCCTGGTGTCCTACAGACCCAATGCCAGCTGGCTCCAAGACAGGTCTAACACTGGTGAGTCTATCAGTGATGGTGGTAGTGACTCTGGGGTAACGTGGCTATGAAAGGGGAAAAGGTACTGCCTAAGAGCAGATTGCAGCCAGAGTGGAGAATATGTGTGAGAAAGAGCCCTGCAGACACCAGATGAGTGAAGAAGGAGGGGCAGGAGCTGCTCCAGGCACCAGTGCTGACACTCCCCTGCAGCCCATGGGGGTTCATAGGGATGCAGAAATCCACCTGCAGCCCATGGAGGACCCCACGCTGGAGCAGGTGGATGCTTGAAGAGGCTGTGACCTTGTGGGAAACCTGCAGCGGAGCAGGTTCCTGGCAGGACCTATGGACCCATGGAGAGAGGAGCCAATGCTGAAGGTTTTCTGGCAGCACTTGTGACCATGCTGGAGCAGTCTGCTGCTGGAGGAGTGCACCCTGTGGAAGGGAGCCATGTTGGAGCAGTTTGTGAAGAACTGCAGCCCATGGAAAGGACTCATGTTAGGGGGTTGTGAAGGACTGTGTCATGGGAGGGACCCCATGCTGGAACAGGGATATATTGTGTGAGTCCTTCCTTGAAGAAGGAGTGGCAGAGACAATGTGTGATGAACTGATCAGAACTTCCATTCCCCTTCCCTCTGCACTGTTTGGAGGGAGAGGAAATCAGGAATAAAATCAAGCCTGAGAAGAAGAGAGGGGTGGAGGGAAGATGTTCTAAAATTTGGTTGTCTTTTTCATTATCCTACACTGATGTGGTTGGCACTAAAGTAATTTGCCCAATAGTCTGTTTTGCCCATGATGGTAATTGGTGAGTGACCTCTGCCTGTCCTTATCTTAACCCGTGAGCCTTCCATTGTAGGGGAGGGGAGTGATAGTACAGCTTTGGTCAGCGTCTGATATCCAGCCACGGTCAACTCACCACAATTGCTCTTCCCATGGAAGTGGAGAAGTATTTTTCCTTTGCTGCTTTGATAGCCCAAACACAGATGATACAGACAGATACTTCAGCACTTCTTTTTTTAAAAAAAGCACTTCTTTTTTTAAAAACTAAACATGTTTGACTCCTGCAAGCAAAGATGCTCCAGAATCCATCTGACTCAGAGGTTAAGCCCACTGATGTGTTTTCACTCAAAATTAGTAAATGTTTCTATTACTGCTTTTCAGACTGCAGTAGATTTCTGCACTAGGATGAAGGTTGGTCTGAGAAATGTTAGTAATGAGAATAATTATCTCTGTTTCTTAATGCTTGAAAGACATTAAATCCTTTTGGAGTCTATGGAACCATGTTATGGAAAGGTTTAGGAAGAAAGTCTACAGAAAACAAAACCTGAACTTTGGGTCCAGCCCTCTGGAACTGCAATCAGAAGTACTAAGAGTGCAGCTTTGATAATCAAGTGAGTGATTCTTAGAAGAGGAAGCTTATATAGTGGCTATTTTTCACTGCTTGCCTTATTCTCTGGTTAGTTTAAAATGTTGAAGTGATAAGTATGAGATATGTGTCCCACACCTCAGGAGTGGTTGGTGTCAAGTGAAGAAATTCAGAGTATGGTAGGAAGAGATGGCCATGACAAAAGTGAGGTGGACTGCATCAGAAGTGGCTTTGTGGTGGCTTTGTAGTGCTAGGACGCCTGGACTCTTAGAAAGGTCTGTATGTGCTACCTTCTCTCTAGACACATGCTGGGAGCTGCCGTGCCTTCTCCAGGCATGGAGATTTCTCTCCAGTTTTAGGGTGTAAAGCCTCTAACATGGTGGTTGCCCTTGTAAACAGGAGAACGCCAGGAGAAGGATTTTAATTTTGTTTGTGCCCAGGATTGTCTAACTTCAGATTTCCAGTGCAGCCTTCAGCTTCATGGCAGTGCTTTCTGGCTGCACTGAATACCTTGAAATACTTTAGCCCTTGGGCCTCTCATTTCACATCCCAGCTTCAAGAAAATGAGAACAGATTGCCTTCCTGATTAGGTGAAATATCTCTTCATCCTGCCTCCACAGGAACCAGGTTACAATGGCAAAGGAAGGTCAGCGTATTTGTGGAAAAACCTGACTTAAAAGAGA